GGGCTGTGGAACGGATTAATTTCATAAGTAGAGGTACCACTGTATTTTGTCTGTCTCAAAATTATCAAGGTGCAGTATCTCAACTGGCCACTTGAATGAGCTAGAGAACATTTTCCTGTATTTTTTCCATGTCACAGCAATAGCAGTAACACATTAGTAAGGATATGAACTATCTTTTCAGATTGCAGTAACAATACAGTATCTGTTGTTTGAGCAGAGTAATGAGCGTTCTAACAAGTAGCAGCCCAAACTGTGATTTAGTCCTTGCAGAGTTATGTCTCAAAATTCCCTGTATGGAAGAAACCATAGTAATCTAGGCATTAGACGGGGGCCTGGGAGATTTCTATTGTGTTTGTGACATCGGTGTGTGTTTTTTAAAAAAAAACAACAACAACGCACACACAAATATTGCTGTTATGGCTAAGAGATGAATTGGGAGGTTTAGGAGTGAAAAAGAGCTATTAAACTGAAACAGTGAAGTTCTTTAAAAAATTTTATTGCAAAATTCAGTATTTGGTAGCACTTGTAGAGTTCACTGATCACAGTACAGAGCAAACCAGCAGTTTTGTTATGATTGTGTTCAATTGGTGTTTTGTATTTCTTGTACACACAGACACACACCCTCCTGGTCATGCTAATAGGGCATGTACACATACACTAAATTGTGATGCAGTCAGTCACATATGTCATGATTTAGTATTGGAAACCCTTGTAAAAAATACAATAGAACCTCGTTAATTTGCAGGACAACTTGGTTTTGCCACTTAGTTAGTATGTTCCTTGCCAAGTTAACATGAAAGTTCTCATAACATAACGATCATATTGAAGTCTTGCATTATTCAAACTTAGTTAATATTACATTTACCATTATACAGTATATTTACTGCTTTTCTAGAGGTATAGTGATAAACAATAAGGTATACCTGCTAAATAAATAAATAAATAAATAATAAAATTTTATGAACACAAGCCTCATTTTGTTCATTTCACTAGTTCAGAAACAGAAAAGCAGCTACTGCAATATCAAGAGTGTTGCATCTGTTCCATGTCTGCAATTTATTGAGGTTCTGCTGTATATGATAAAGTGCTGAAGTTGAACTGCAACAGGATTTCCATATTTTTCAGGCCATGAGAATGGGTTGATTTGCTAAAGCCCCTTTGATGTGAGAACAGTTTTCTGTGTTCTGGGCACTGTAACACCATGAACTAAAATGAGTTTATCAGACCACACATCAAAATAAAAGTATGCTTAAGATCACAGCCTAGTGTTTTAATGTTGTAAATACTTGAGAGTATGCTCCTTTGAAAATCAGCCCAGCTCTAAGCCCTAACCATATTAATATTGCAAGGATTTCAAATAATGAATTCAGGACTCAGGTCTCTTGCCCACTGCAGAGGCTTTAGGAAAATCAGGCCTTAGATTGCTCATCTCTCTGCCTGATAATACATAAATACTTTAGTAGAGCAATCATCATACATTGCCACTCCCATTAAAATATGGAGAAATGTATTGTGTGTATTCAGAACCAAATCTGTATTGTGTGTTGAATCTGTACTGTGTGTATTCAAAACCAAAACAGACATTTCTGTTGTGTCATTTTGTTCCCCTGAGTTGTCTTGTGACAAAAAGATGCATAAAAGTGGGGCAAGCAAGCTTATGTCATGTTTGATAGCTATCAAAAGTAAGTGAATAGCCAACATGTTGTCATCTGTTAGAATTCCCTTTCTTTACACATAATTGACTGAAAATGGGAGAAAAATCCAGCCGTATCAACCACATTCCCTCTAACTCCACCAACAAAATTCTTATCTGAGGTCTGTGATGCTAAATTTAACATCCATCCTAGGTGATAGCATTAAATGTTTGGACCAGTTATTGATACCTGTGGCAGTTGTTGACTATTCTTGTTATACTCCAAAATGTAAACTTCCATACTTGGATACTTTTTTTCCTTAATAGAAAGTTTCTCTTTGCTGCATTAGGGTCCCAGCAGTGACTGTTGTGTTGAGTTGTTCAGAATATACATAGTGCATGAGAAGTTTATAAGTACCTAAGATCCCAAGACACAGTCCATATGTTAGACTCACATGTCATCACTGGAAATTGCATGGTGCTAATGACTGAGACATCAGTTTATATAGTTTGACCAGCCATGTGATTAATAATTTTTCTATAAAGCACTGTTGTGATCATGGCACAACCCCTCTGTGAAGGCATAGTGCACACAATCAGAGATTCATGGAGAGCCCTTTACACACTCCCATAGAGGTTGGTGTGGGTGCTGTCAAATGAAAGGGCCCAAAATGGACAGACTTCATATTCTCAGTTGGTGAGAAACTGGCCTAAGCCTACATTCATAGGCCTCGCTATAAAAAGAATGAAGGTTTCATTTACATCATATCCAGATACTGCAAAGATTCATCCTAAAAATTCTTTTGCCTGATTCAGTAAACATAAGTGCAGACTCCTCACTTACTACATAAATGCTCTTAATACAATACAGTTGGCCCTCTGTATCCATAAATTCAACCAACCATGGCTTGAAAATATTTAGAAAATATATAAACAACAAAAAACAAATTGATTTTGCCATTTTATATAAGGGACACCATTTTATTACACCATTTATATAATGGGACTTGAGCATCCACGGATTTAGGTATCCACAGAGGGTCCTGGGACCAAACTCCAGTGGTTACTGAGGGCCCACTGTACCTAACATATTTCAAGTGATCAGGACCCTGCCTTCAGTGCACTGCCAACCCAAACAATAGTTTTGGTGCTTCAGGGATTGTACTCCAGAACAGCATGGATGAGCTTCATTTTTAAAAGACATTGGCTATACTCCTTTTGGTCTCATATGCTGGCATGACACCCTGTTATGCCAGCATATGTTTTTCTTTGGATGTTGCAGAAGGAGACATCTTGTACTGTACTTCCTTGTGTAACACCACTTGGTCCAGGTGTGTAACAGCAACTGGAGAGGGCTTACAGGTGCAGTTGAGACACATCAGCCACTGATTGGTTAGGTAGGTGCACCCAGATGTATTACAGCTGCCCTCATATACCCTGAGAGGAATGAGCAACCTTATGCTGGGGAAAGAGGCTGCTGCTGCTTCTTCTCGAGGTGTGCAAGGGCAGCTGGCATAGTGCATCCCTGCAGCTGCTCAGTGGCCAGAGGAATGCAGTGGTGCCTGCAAGTCCCCTGACTGCAGTTGTGCCCCCTGGTGTGAGTATACCAGCAAATTTACTGGATCTTGGGCATAGCCTGTCTCTTTACTCTGCTTAACAGAAAAAGATCATGTTTATAACTGCTTACACATTTTAAAATAACCTCAAGAAGAATTAACAAAATAATGCATTGAAGAGACTGGTGAAGGGCTTTTTTTTAAAAAAAAACCACAGATTTGCTCCCACAAGGCAGCCTCTAATACTCTTAAAATAACAATAAATACTAGTTTAAAATTAAAACATGCTACAGTCTTGTTTTTCCAACTGCCAAGAGGGAAGTACAAGTCTTTAACAGTGTGAATCTACATACATCTGCTCAGAAGCAAATCGTGTTAAGTTCAGAGAGACTGTGGTCCAAAACACACTGCAGAAATAATCCAGTTTGAGACCACTTTAACTGCCCTGGCTCAGTGCTAGGGAATCCTGGGAATTATAGATTATTGTTGCACCAGAGCTCTCTGACAGAGAAGGCTCAATGTCTCACAAAACCAGTTCCCAGAAATCCCTAGCACTGAGCCACAGCAGTTAAAACAATCTCACACTGGATTATTTCTGTGGTGTGTTTTGAACCTATGTTCCAAGGTAATGGCACAAGGTTGCAACCTAAGACAACATTGCTGTGCTCACTTGGGTTTAAGTCCTATTTAAAGTAGTGAAACCTAAAAAGTACTGAATAAGCAAGCATAGGATTGGACAGTAAGAATTTGAATCTGGAGTGAAATAAAATATTCTCAAGAAATATCTGAAATAGTAACTGGCCATAAAATAAGAGTGGTAGCCTCCTACTTCCAAGCATTTAAGAGGGCAAACAAGTTTTAAAAACAAAATAACATCCTTTGTTAATTCTCTAGGTTAAGGTAGAGGCCCCTGTGGTTTCCTGATTTTGCTGGTCTCCAACTTTCACTTTTCTTGGCCACTGGCCATGTAGGCTAGGAGTTATGAAAGATGGAACCCAACATCTGGAGAATCAGATTCACCACCCCTGCTCTAAATATGCTATCTAACCCAACACCCTTTCCCCTGAAAATATCTAGAATAATCTTTTTG